ATAGTCTTCTTTGACGACATTTTGGTGTACAGTTCTACAGTGGAGGAGCATGTGGACCATCTAAAGGTAGCCTTGGAATGTTTGAATCAAAATCATTTTTTTGTGAAACTAAGCAAATGTGCTTTTGCGGTTTCAGAGATTGACTACTTGGGCCATTTAGTTTCGGGAGCTGGTGTTAGAGCTGATCCCAAGAAGATAGTGGCGATGACTATGTGGCCTACACCTCGTTCAGTTAAACAGCTACGGGGGTTTTTAGGACTCACTGGTTATTATAGGTGTTTCATTAGACACAATGCTTCAATAGCAACTCCACTTTCTGATTTACTGAAGACTAATGCATTTGTGTGGTCATCTATAGCAGAGGAAGCTTTTCTGAAGTTGAAAGAGGTGATGTCTCATACCCCAGTCCTTCGGTTACCTGATTTTTCTCAACGTTTTATAATAGAAACTGATCCCTCAAATTCTGGAATTGGTGCTGTTTTGATTCAAGAGGGGCAACCGATATCATACTTTAGTAAGAAACTGGGTAAAAGGATGCAACTTGCATCTACATATGTGAGGGAACTATATGGCCTTACAGAAGCAGTTAAGGGTTGGAGACACTACTTATTAGGATCACATTCTGTGATCAAAACAGATCACCGAAGTTTGAAGGAGTTGTTAACCCAAACGGTGTCCACTCCTGAGCAGCAAAAATACCTTTGTAAACTAATGGGGTATGACTTTTCGATTGAGTATAAACCTGGGGCCAGTAACCTTATTGCAGATGCTTTATCACGCTGTCACGAGGAGGAAAATGCAGCCATCGTCATGGCCTTAGTGTCACAACCCACATTTCATGTGATTGAGAAAATATGTAAGGAGAACACTTCAGACTTACATCTGTTAAAGCTGCAGCAGGAAATTAAGGAGGGCAGTTGTATGAACTCCGATATTACTGTTAGGGATGGTCTTCTGTTCCATAAAGGGCGTTATTTGGTGGGGCCTAAGTCAGCTTTACGTCAAATTCTCATTAATAAGGCTCATTCTTCGCCTTTGGGGGGACACGCTGGAGTAACAAGGACCTTACTTCGTCTATCTGCTTCTTCTTTTTGGGAGCACATGCGTAAGGATGTGAACGATTTTGTGAAGAGTTATCACACTTGTCAGTGTGTTAAAACTGCTACATCACCACCCATGGGCTTGTTGCAGCCTCTCCCAATCCCAGAAGGGGTATTTGAAGACCTTTCTTTGGATTTCATTACAGGTTTTCCTCCTTCTAATGGATTGACTGTCATTTTAGTTGTTGTTGGTCGCTTAACAAAGTTTTCACACTTTGGGGCACTGCCAAGCAATTATTCAGCAGTTTCTGTGGCACAGTTATTTTGTGAAATGATAGTGAAACTCCATGGATTTCCCAAGTCCTTGGTGTCAGATAGAGATAGTATTTTTATCAGCCAATTTTGGACTACATTGTTTCGTCTAAGTGGTACCACCTTGAGGACAAGCACTGCCTATCATCCCCAATCCGATGGGCAGACGGAAGTCACTAATAGATATTTGGAGCAATATTTGCGGGCCTTTTGTTCTGAACAAAATCGAAGGTGGGCAGTGTATTTGAGTTGGGCAGAGCTTTACTACAACACTGCAGTGCAATCAGCTATTAGCATGTCACCCTTCCAAGCTTTGTATGGAAAACAACCAACTTTAATTCCTCATTATCCGAGAGGTTCAGTACGTGTGGCAGCAGTGGATTCATTGTTGGTTCGAAATGAACTTTTATTGGATCTGAAATTACACTTGCAAGCAGCTCAAAATCAGATGAAGATACAAGCTGACAAACATCGTGTGGAAAAGCTGTTTTCAGTAGGTGACTTGGTATTAGTAAAACTTCAGCCATATCGCCAACACTCAGTCAGTAGGCGTAGCAATCAAAAACTTGCAAAGAGGTATTTTGGACCCTTTTCGATTGAAAGAGTTTTGAGTCCAGTAGCTTATATGTTGAAGCTTCCAGTTGGGAGTAAAATTCATCCATCCTTTTCCTTGTTAAAACCATATGTGGGAAGTTTGGATGAGGTAGTAGGATCCCTACCGGATGGTATTCATGAGAATCCTTTTCCTTTAGAAGTGCTCAGCTCGAGGGTGTTGTGTATTGGTGGGAAGGAACAAAGACAATGGCTGGTTAAGTGGTCTAGTTCATTACCGGAAGACGCTTCATGGGAGGTAGAGGAAGATCTGCAGCAATTCTACCTTGAATTGGACCTTGAGGTCAAGGTCCCTCTTCAAGAGGGGACGAATGTTACGTGTAGGAGGTCAATGAGAACATCTGGGGCTCCTAGCTGGGCAGAGGATTACATTCAACAGTAGATTAATAGATAAGTAGTGATATTGGATATTGTAATATAGTTGAGAGCTGATGTAATTGTATAGTGGCATAGGAAGTTGCTAGAAGCGATGAGTTGGTGAGGTGGCACCCACGTGGCTTATTCACAAGCTCTTATAAATAGAGTTTTGATGTAAGGAAAAACCATATGAGAAATAATAACCCATTTTTACTCTTCTTTTAATTCTCAGAGCAACTCTGCTCTATCAAACAATGTCCCCTAAAACTTAGATTTTCACTTCTAATGAATGGGCCAAGCTCAAATAATTCATCCAAAACTAAAGGTCTCGTTGGCACTCTTATAATGAAGATATGATAGGATATACTATCATATTCTCTGCTTATCCGTTGTTTGGACTTTAGAGAGGCAAAGGGATAAAATAAGCTTACCAGATTGACTCATCTTATCCTGCCCCAATCCTTATCCTTTGTTTTAATATGTTATATTTGAAATAATGAATTTTGAATTTTTTAAAGCAGAAACTGATGTATCGATAAGTTAAAAAAAGTTTAAAAATCAATTTAAAAAGAATAATACAAAATTCTATTACATAAGGGTATTTTTATATATTTATAACGTCTTTTAAAACTGTTACACAATCTGACTCACATCAAATACAAGATATGATGCTATAATCTCACTTATTTAGTATACATCAAATACGAGTAAGATTTGAGTTTATCATGCTCATATCTCATGATACTCTTATCCAATGCGATTATCGTATTCCTTCTTATTCTATTTTGTCCATCAAATAAATCTTAATTATTTATAATTTAATTATTATTGCAACTTTTGTTTTATAAATAACCCACTAATAAATTTAGTACTTTATTATTCTTCCTCCTTGTCTGTCCTCTCTACCCAAACTTCATGCCAACCTGGCGTCTACTCTCCCCAACCGCATGGCGCTCCCACTTTCCTCATCTTTGTCTGTATTGCCTTATACTCTCCCAACCCCCACAAACCTCCTCTAATCACGTGCCCGACCCTATCTCTGGTGAGACATTAGAGTGGGTAAAAGGAAGTTATCATATTTTGTTGGGATGATTAGAAGATTGTGGGGGCAAGAGTTGTAAAATTAAAAAATGTTAATGGACCAAATGTCATTTTAAAAATTACTGACACGTTAAAAATAAAATTGGTCTTTTTTTTTTTGGGTAAAAAAATTAGTCTATTTCCCTGTTCTTTGGGTAACTAGTAAATAATCTTTTTTTGGAGTTACTCAACCCTAATTACCTCTTTGAGGCGAGTTGGCTCCCTCCGGTATCCCCACGAGTTTCGACTCTTTGAGCCGGCTATGGGACTAATCCGGAGTGCGGGCGATCAGTGATGGCTAAAGGTTCAACCCCCTTCCCAAGAATGCATTTAGCAGGAATCGAACACATGTCAAACTTCACTAACTCAGCGCCAAGTTACCAACTGAGCTACACCCATCGGGTGTAAATAATCTGAACCATCGTACATTCTAACTAAAGCCAAGATTTAGTCACGCAAGGGGTGGGTTTGAATAGTCCTTTTAAAATTTTTAATAAAGTAAAATTCATTTTGAATTCTTAATAAAAAAGATGATCCTCACTTTATAAGTCTCTATTTTAATTCTCTTTTGAAGAATTAATGTGACACTTTTTTAAATTTATGAAGGACCACAATTTTAAATAAATGAATCAACTTTGAATTTCTTAGAAATTTTAGGAATAATATTTTTTATAAAAAAATAAAAGGGATAATATTTTTTATTAAGAATCCAGAATAATCATTACTTTTATTTAATATATGTGGGTTGGTCTATTTTACCTCAGTTCTGGCATCAGCCACCTTTAATCACATGTCCTCTTCCTATTTGGGTTTAAAAACCCTTCAATCTTTAAAGTTATTGGAGACTCCAGCGATGCTTAAAACATTGACTTGACAGATGGTCTCACCCGAAAAAGATTGACAATGAGAAAGCAATTTGTCCACATATAAATTCTTTTAAGTTCATGAGAAAATTTTCGTCTTTGATATCATTTAACGTCCGCTACATCTGCTACATTTTAGTTGATATAGTATTATATTTAATGATACAACATCACTGCACACCCAAATCTTAACAACTAGGCATACGAAAATTAAATTGCAAATTCGTTTTTGCATATTAAATGTAGCATAAGCGTGTAAAACTGCATGATCTATCATAATTAAATGATCAAATAAAAACTATAAATATAGGAATAAGGTGTATAAAAGTGGGTAATATAATTATTTAACTTTGCCAATGTGGAAAGGTGCCAGTTCTGAGGAACGTGTTCTTGGCCTGCTTTGAAAAATATCTCACGTTATAACATTGACCCGTCGAGATTCGGCTGGCCCCACAAGAAAAAGAGCAATGACGTTTGATATTTGAGGAACCATTCTGCACACAATCGTTGCTTCTACTCCAGTAGGATCACGCCACGTCATCCAAAAATTGACAAGTATCTGATCTCACGTGAGCGTTCACCCAGTAGATCCACGCCTCAGTGCCAGGCTGTTAACGGCTAGAATCCAACGCGATTTAAGCCATTGAAATCGACGGTGGAGATTATCTCACCCACTCTCACTAAATTCTCAATCACCAACGCAACACGTTCTCAATCCCCTTCCACAGCTCGAACGGTGAAGGTGGTGGTGCTGTGTGGTTACTCTTCGAACAGTGAAACACACTCTTTCGTTTGGATTTTGGATTTGGATCTCCCTGCATTGCCTTCTGCTCGGTTAGTTTTCTCGATTCGCTTGCTATTTCTAGATCTAGTTTTTTTTCCCCTTTGTTTCAGCATTGCAAATCTGTGTTTTTAGCATGTTTCTTTGTTGATAACGATTTCCGACTGAACCTGCTTCGTTTATACAGTTTTTCCATTTTAATTTGCTGCTCAATTTGTTTTGTGAATGCGGCGTGTTAGTTGATGGCATTGTCGATCCGTTTGCTGATTTGACCTCAGATTTCTGCTTTGTGTTCGCACTATGGTGTAAATTTTGAGGATGACGAGGGTTGAAGTAAATAATTAATTAATTTACTTATTTGCATGTATGTGCTTTTTATTTTTTATTTTATTTTATTTTTTGTCGTTATATTTTAGTTCACAAGTTTTAAATCTTGTTGCCACTCGGTTTTAGTTCGTGTAAAATTATTGCTTGCTTTTTCTTTGATGTTGATGATGAGGAGTTTGGCTTCTTCTTTTTTTGTTGGTTGAAAATGACTATGGTCGTTTCTGGTAGCTATAAGGGTGTTATAGGACCTTTTCGTTTTATTTATGCGGCGCACCTCATCATTGGTTTGAAAGCCTACAGCATGCAATAGTGATTAGATAAACCCCTACATAAGCTTTGGCCTGAAGCAATGAAAACTAGAATCCTTTTTGCAGTGTAGCAGTATAGCCCAATAAGCTTATTAATACTGAATTATTTTCTCTCTCTTATTGACAAATCGTGTTCCTGACTTTTTCCTACAACTGAGGTTAAAATCAATGCCGTCAGAAAGGTAGAATAAACCAATGTCGTTTACAATTTCCTAACCCGTGTAGTGAATACTTCGTATTATGCTTTTACTTCACTCTTGTTTTTATCATTAAACTTACTTCCTGTTAACACTGTTTTTTGTGGTCTTTGACTACAGTACCAAGATGGTTGCGCAGAACTTTGTAGTTGATTTGAATAAGCCCCTTGTTTTCCAGGTACAGTCACTACCTTTCAAGATCTTCTTTCAAACATGTTCTTCATGTCCTGTCTTGTAGTAGATTTGAATTGTTATATAGGTTTCATTTCTGTTTATGTATGAACTTAGGTTGAGATAAAAAAAGGATTGTTTTTACTTTTTATGCTAAGTAATCTTTGATTGGACCAGACCGAATTTCAATGTTTTACAGGTTGGACATCTTGGAGAAGCTTATGAAGAGTGGGTTCACCAGCCCATTGTTGGCAAGGAAGGCCCCCGATTCTTTGAAAACGATATTCTGGAGGTATGTCAATTAACTGCAACTACAGCAGGCAAGCCTGGCTCACTAGGTGGGGTTGGCTAGATGGACCAGTTGATGCCATAAGCTTTATCAAAAACCAAGTTTTTAGTAAAATACTTAACTACCTTTTTAGTTTGACCATCTTCCACTTGATCTACTTGTCTCATGGAACTTCTATTGGTCTTGTTATCACATGATGAAACTCCATTAGGCTAGTTTCAGTCATCTTGTCCTGATAGTTGCTAATCCAGGTTTCTCCCTAACTATTGGGCCCCTAATATATATATATAGTTGCTAATCCAGTCATCATGTGATAACCAGTTGATGCCATAGGCTTTATCAAAAACCAAGTTTTTAGTAAATACTTAACTACCTTTTTAGTTTGACCATCTTCCACTTGATCTATATGGAACTTCTATATCACATATGAAACTCCATTATATATATCTTGTCCTGATAGTTGCTAATCCAGGTTTCTCCCTAACTATTGGGCCCCTAATATATAAATATATATATATATTCCTAGTTTTCTACTCATTCACCTCAGCATTCCCATAACCACTACGCTTATGTTTTGCTCTTATTGATGCTTCATTTCCCAACATTTACTGTCATAGAGCTTTGCTAGTTTTATTGCTTTCTGATAAAGTTTTTCTTTGAGTTCAATAGGTATTTTGCTACAAATTTTAAGATTATGGCCCTACCTAAAATCCTTCTAACATTGACCTCATTACAAACAAATGAAGATTTAAATTTTTTGTTTCAATACTTCATTTAAAATTTCACCTGTGTTCTTAACTTGTTACTACTTGGAACAGTTCTTGACCCGCACAGTCTGGTGGGCAGTACCAAGCATTTGGCTGCCAGTTGTATGTTGGCTTATATATAGTTCTATACAAATGGGCCTCAGTTGTCCTGATGTAGCTCTATTGGTGGTTCTTGGCATTTTCATTTGGACATTGATTGAATACACATTGCACCGTTTTCTTTTCCATATCAAAACAAAGACCTACTGGTTAGATCTCTCTCTCTCTCTCTCTCTCTCTCTCTCTCTCCCCCCACGTTTTCTTTCCATAGGATGAAACATTTTGTTAATTTTTGCTTGTAGTTGTATTTAACCATATCTACGTAGATTAACTACTAATTGGTTTGAATAACACTGAAAGTTTATTTCCTTTTTTTTTTTTGTTGGTTGGTTGAATGCTGCTTTAGGTGGAATACCCTGCATTATCTTATCCATGGCTGCCACCATAAACACCCCATGGATGGCTTGAGACTTGTTTTCCCTCCTGCAGCAACAGCTATATTATTGATTCCGGTATCTATTTTCTGCCATATTATATACTGCATTTTTCCATGCTTCATTCTCTGAGAAGAGAATTATGGGATTTAAATTTTCATCTGTTTTTGCCTTTTACCATGAGCACTTCCTGTAATTGGAAAGACCCAAATAGTAACTTTTTCATCTTTTCCTTTATCCCTCTTTTATCTAATAATAGAAATTTTCCTTAATTAAGTTTTTGGTCCTTGTACTTTTACAACCTATTTATATTAACCACTACTTCTTCAATTTGTTCATTTTGGTCCCTCTACTTACCAATTACATACGATGTTATTCTTATAACAATTTTTCTTCCAAATAACTCTTTTAAATAGTGAGGTGTCACATTGTAATTTTCTCATACTGATGTGTCAAATGGCTATTGATGCAATAGTTTTAGGTGGATTTTTTTAGTTTTCACACTACATGTCACCATTAGGACTACATTGTTTGAAGTAAAACTTTTTTTTTTCGAGAAGAGAGTGAAATACGAGAGTAGTCACAACAGAGGCTCCCGCCATGTATATCACAATTTGTAGCTTTCTTCTGAAAATGGCTAGAAAACTTTTTGACATTTTATAAAATGATTTGATTAGTCTGCAATACAGATATATCAATATCGGTAAGATTTAGAGATAATTTCTTCACACTTGGTTTAAGGTTCCTTGAAGTGATGTTTGCGTTTTTGTCTGCCGTGTCCAGTTCTGGAACTTGGTGAGGCTCATGTCCACCCCTTCAACTACCCCTGCTTTGTTTGGAGGCGGTTTATTGGGTTATGTAATGTATGATTGCACCCATTATTACTTACACCATGGTCAGCCAAAGACTGAAGTACCCAAAAATCTCAAGGTAAAAACACATTCCACCTTTATCTTAGGATGACAATTAAATTACAATTCATTGCTGCAATATGCTGCTAAGCAAAATCATCTTGTTCTAGTATAAATCATTGAAAAAGAAAATAGTTGTATAATTTACCAGATGTTAGCCGATCAAAGTTGGTCTTTTAGCTTTTGTGTATTTAATTTCAGTAGAAATTGAAAGACATCAAACTGAGATACGGTGATTGTGGTAGCATTTTTTCTTTTTTTCTTTTTTAATTAATACTTTCAGCCTCCTTTCTGATAGTATTGTTCTCAAGGGATTAGGAACAAGAGAGTTTTATTTTCACATATATCATGCAGAGTCTTCCATTTTGTGTGTCTAGCCTACAAATCCTAGATGGTTGTTTGCGTCTTTCTTTATATGGAAAAAATGAGAGATTTCAATTAGTTGTAAAGGGTAGATTTAATTGCAAGTCTCTACCAAGTATTTTTCATTTTCTCCTATCTACATTTTTTTGTAGCATCTTTCTGTGTCTGTATCTTATACTAGCAATTATCTCCATCTTGTAAGCCATACAAGCCAAATCATCTTACCCTTATTTTTTCTGCAGAAGTACCACTTGAATCATCACTTTCGGATCCAGGATAAAGGCTTTGGCATCACTTCATCACTATGGGATAAAGTTTTTGGAACACTTCCTTCAACGAAAGCAGATGCTAAAAGTATGTAGATTACTATCAAGCGTAGCATATGTTCGTTGGTTGAAATAATAGCAAAATCAGGAATTCCTGCTTTCATTTGTCTAAATTTATTTTGCTCCCTCCCCAATTGATGTTTCTGGTGGTTAGCGTGCCATATTTTGTCAATTTTATGGTGCCAAAGTTCTACATTGTGTAAAAATTGATCTCGTGTCAGATTTATGGTGGAAAACTCACCTACTTGTGCATATTCCTTTCTGCTGTAACTTCAATAATATTCTTATTTGCCTATGGTGGCTTAGTTTGCGTTATAACTTTTACTTTCCAAGAAATCATGAGTTTCGGGCAATAATGCTTTCGCAACTGCACACAACTACACATTGTTTTGTTTCATCTAAATTTAGTGAATTATGTACCAAAAAAATAAATAAAAAATAGTGAATTAAGCGGGGGATTTTTGGTATTTTTTGGTTTTATTACATTTTAATTGCATTTTTAAGCTATACTAATTAAAAGTAGACATATTAACCAAAAGGTATTCTATTAATCTCTGTAAAATTAATAATGTAAAAAAGTATGCATTTTATTGTTTATTAAAAGTTAATAATATTTAATTGTTAGGTTTTTTAGAAAATATATAAAAAAATAAATAAAATAATGAAAGATTAATAAATATGAATATTTATTCAGATAACAATGCAGTAAAGTATGCTTTTTTTAATTTAATAAAACTTAATAATATTTTATTATTTTTAAGAAAAAATATAATCTTAATTTATATAAAATTTGTAAAATTTTATAAAGATATGAAAAAAATTGTAAAAGAGTAAATAATAATACTTAAAAAGTATTTTACTAATGTATAATTTTATTAAAATTTATAAAACATTAATAATGTAAAAAAATAATGCACTATTTAATTTATAAAAAATTAATGATCTTTAATTATTATTATTTTAGAAAATTAAATACGAAAAATTGAAATTTGAATGAAATATTTGGAAAAAAAAACCTTGAAATTAAAAGGTATTTTGTTAATATATACTTTTTTGTTGTAAAATTAAAGGTAATTACAAAATAGCAAAAGGTAAAGTAAGTAATTTTTTGGTAGGTTAAAGTAAGTAATTTGAAAAGGAATAATCAGGAAAAATTATAGACAAGGGAGAAAGGTAGAGGAATATCTTCTCTTATTGTAATGTCAATCATCAGATTAGATGAGCTCTATTCATATACTTTCAACTATCATGTGTTACATAATTAAACCTCCTAATTGCATATTATTAATTCATAGGAGTTGCATATGCTACACATTATTTTTTAGGGGTTCTGGACATCCATATAAATGATATAGTTATATTATTTATAACACTCTCTCTTGTATGTTATTAAAAATAATGTATCTCGTTAAAACCTTATTAAGAAAAAACCATGTGGGAAAAAATTCTGAGAAAAAATCCTATTGAAGAAAAAAGAATATACATTTCTACGTGTATCACAAACTGTCTCATTTTATCAGGAAAACCCAATGGGACAAAACCTTTATGAAAGAAAAAAGAGTGCAACATATATTTTACTCCTCCTAATTATAATATCATTTAATATCTTAGAATCTATAAATCTCAGTCTCACATATCACTTTATCAAAACTTGAATTAAGCGATGTCTACCAAATTATCTCCAAATTATCTCTTGAACTGTTGGGAGTTGTTCCTTCTTCAATGCTTGGCTCAAGTACCAAGATGTTGGAACTCTTCATTTTTGGTGCAAGACTCAAGGGGCATAATCTTTGAGTGGTTCAATGTCTCTCAATAAATGAAGGTGCAAGACTCAAGGGACACATCCTTTGAGTGGTTCAATGTCTAGAATCATCTCCCTCCCCTATATAAGCTTATAGTGTGTGAGGTTTAGAGACATGAGAGATGAGATGAAAAATACCTCTAGAGAGAAGTTTGGGTGAGACCTCTTTAGGGAAGTTTGATATTACCGCCATTGTAGGTTACGTAAGATTGTACCTCTAGTGAAAGACTATGGATGTTTGATTGTTGTAACCCATTATTCTTATAGTGGAAGTTTGATTCTGGACTAGTGTCCTGTGGATTTTTTACTTCTTCACATTAGAGAAGGTTTTCCCACGTAAAACAAATTGACTGTGTTATTCTCCATCTCTCTCCTCTTGCATTTTACTGTTTCTCTTTCGTAATTAACTTGAGGGTCTGACTTGACCCAACAATGGTATCAGAGCCCGGGTTAGACGGGTTTTGAAGGAGACAAGATGGAGACCAACGGCATAACCCATGATGGAGATATGTTCAAGCTGACCGCAAACAATTTCACTTATTAGAGACCGATGATGGAAGATTATCTCTACTGCAGAGATTTACATGAGTCCATTATCCTTGATTAGAGACCGGCAGACAAAACTGATAAGGAGTGGGAGATCCTGAGTCGTAAGGCGGTAGCCATAATCAGAAAGTACATCGACAAAAGCCTCTTTGAGCACGTGTCCGAGTTCACGAACGCGTACAAATTATGGAACAAATTGGAGTGCATGATTCAAAGGAAGACTTTTAGGAACAAAGCACACCTGGTTCGCCGACTTGTGAAGTTGGAATACAAAGACGACAAGAGCATGATTGAAACCTCAACACCTACAAAGGGATTGTGAATCAGCTGTCAAAAGCTGAGATGAAAATTGATGACAAGATGCAGGCTTTGCTGCTGTTGAGCTTACTGCCAGAAAGCTAGGATACTCTGGTGATGACTTTGAGTAATTCGGCTGCAGAAGGAAAATTGAAGATGGATGCCGTGATAGACAACCTCTTGAATGAAGAGTCCAGGAGAAGGGAATGAGGTGTAACCAGCACAATTGAGGCAAACGTGACCGAGAATAGAGGAAGGTCCGACGCCCGGGGTCGTAGCAAGAGCCGGGGTCGTGATAGATGTGATAAGTCTATAGGGCGGTCTAGGCCAAAATATGAGATGAAGTGCTTCTATTGTGGGAAGCCCGGTCACAAAAAGACGGACTGCAGGACTCTGCAGAATGACGAGAAGAATGGCTCTGTGAAGCCGGATTAGATTATTTCCAAGAAAAAGGAAGACAAGAGCACCACTGCGGTGGCTGCCAACTCGAATGTCGAGATATTTCTCCTCGACGAAGACAATTACTTAAATGTCGCATATGAAGATTGCACATGGATTGTTGACTCCGGTGCCTCCTTCCACGTTATTCCACACAAATGATTTTTCTCCTCTTACCAAGGTGGTGATTTTGGAGTCGTGAAGATGAAAAATAAAGTGACCAGCAAGATTGTTGGTGTCAGTGATGTAACTCTGACCACGGATGTCGGATGCCGACTTGTGTTGAAAGATGTAAGGCATGTTCCTGACATGCGATTGAACCTAATCTCGGTAGGCAAGCTTGGCGATGTCGGGTTAGTGAACTACTTTGGTAGTGGTAGATGGAAGCTTGTCAAAGAAAACTTGGTTGTTGCCCGAGGTAAGAAGGAAGGATCTTTGTATGTGATACAAGGAAAGATAAATGGTGGAGAAACCAATTCTGTTCAAGATGGACATAGCTTGGAGCTGTGGCACAAGTGCCTGAGCCATATGAGTGTGAAAGGGCTCCAAATTCTGAACAAGAAAGGATTATTGACCGGGTTGAAAGGCCAAGCGTTGGAGAGTTGCATGCACTACCTAGCTGGAAAGCAGCACCAGGTTTCGTTTGTGAAATCGGACCAACCCAGAAGACGCAGGTATATTCTTAACCTCGTCCTAACTGATGTTTGCTCTATATTAGAGAGATCCCTTGGAGGAGCTCAATATTTTGTTTCTTTTATTTATGACCGTTCTCGCAAAGTGTGGGTTTATTTGTTGAAATCTAAAGACCAGGTACTCGAATCCTTTAAAGAGTTTCATGCTATGGTGGAAAGGGAGACTGGCAAGAAGCTGAAAGTGGTCCGATCTGACAACGATGGTGAGTACCGCGGCCCATTTGATGCTTACTGTAGAGCCGCCGGGATCCGACTTGAGAAGACGCCCCCAAGACTCTGTAACTGAATGGACTTGCTGAAAGAATGAATCGGACAATTGAAGAGAAGGTTCGAAGTATGTTGTCCAATGCTGGATTGCCGAAATCATTCTGGGGAGAAGCCGTCAGAACTGCAGTTGACCTGATCAACCTCTCACCATCACGACAACTAGAAGGAGAAATTCCAGAAGAAGTCTGGACAGGTCGTAAAGCGGCCTATGATCACCTGAAGGTGTTTGGATGCCGAGCTTTCGTGCATATCCTTAAAGATTAAAGGGAAAAGCTCGATGCAAAGACAAAGGAATGTATTGATCTCGGTTCACCAAAATCCGAGTTTGGTTTTCGACTTTGGGATCCAATCAACAAGAAGATAGTGAGAAGCCGAGATGTGATTTTTCATGAAGATGAGACCATTCATGACATCTCGAAGCCCAAAGTCTGGGCTACTGTACGAGATGAAGAACCTACCCCTCCTGTCCGAGCTGAAACAGGGGGAGAAAATCAAGAGAATGAAAAAAATGATGACCAGCAACAAGCTGATGATGACCAAGATACTGAGGTCCGAGTTGAGAATGATGAACCGGGTTTTCAAGCTGAATAATAGCCGAGATATCCAACTCGAGAAAGAAGACCTTTTACAAGTTACCCACCTGATGAATACACCGTTGTTGCTGAAGATGGTGAGCCTTAGAGTTATGATGAGGCAATGACTAGCTCAGACAAAGAAGAATGGGAAAAGACAATGCAAGACGAGATGAAGTCTCTGCACGAAAATCAGACTTATGAGCTGACCGAGTTGCCTGAAGGAAGAGAAGCCCTGAAAAATAAATGGATCTACAAGATTAAGAATAAATAAAATGGGCAGAAGTCGAGATACAAAGCCAGAATTGTGGTGAAAGGCTGCAATCAAAAGAAGGGAATAGACTTTGAGGAGGTTTTTTCTCCTGTGGTGAAAATATCCTCGGTCCGAACCGTGTTAGCCATGGCGGCTTTGATGGACCTCGAGGTAAAACAAATGGATGTGAAGACTGCATTCTTTCATGGAGACCTTGAAGAAGAGATATATATGGAGCAACTTGAAGGGTCCCAAGCTCCAGGACAGGAAGAATTAGTATGTCGGTTAAGGAAGAGTTTATACGGCTTAAAGCAAAAACCTCAGAAGATTTTATGCTTACCTTCA